AGTTGGACATGGTATTGAATTCTTTATTTTATAAGCTTTCACAATTTACTATGGACTATCACTTACATAAAATGAAGATACAATTAACTAAGTTGATGATGGAGTTGTAATGCGCAAAGTGGTTTTAAGGCTACGACAACGATACTTGTGCATCATTTGGTGGCTTCTCTTGTTTAAGCCGAAAGACAGATTTAGAAAGAAAAGAAAGAAAGCTAGCAAAAAGCATAAGAGCAACAAAAGACCAAAAGTAGATGGAAAGCCTTGAGGTAAGTGTTCCAACTGCGTCAAAAAGGACGCTGGAGAAAGACTGCACAAATGTACTAGCTAGAAAGAAAAGTGCAGGTGGAGTTTTTTCGATATTGAGTATTATTTAGTGGTTGATATTACAACTTCCTGAGTTTGTAGATTTTGGAACCACTAATCATATCTGCATGTTGAGGAGGGTGTTTCAGGAAAGCAGAAAACTCAGTGAAGGCCAGTTTAAAATCATCGTTAGTACAATAGCAATAATTTTTGCAAGAGCATATGAGTATTTTGTTTTTATTTCAGTAGTGGAGGCGTTTTATTCTTAAATACTGTTATTATGTCTAGAAAATGAAGCAAAATTTTGATTTTTATTTTCGATTTAATAGGACAAAGTTATTCGATAAAATCAACATCTGATTCGCTTAGCATTTTAATGAATAAAGTTCAAGTTTGCGTTAGATATTTGATTAATGGTTTTTATACTTTAAACTATTCCACATATAAAATAAAAGTTGTTTCTGCAAACTATAAACAAAAATCGTACCATACTAGTGATACATATCTACGGCGCCTTGGACAAATTAACATTAACAAAAATATAAAGACTGGCTAGAGATGATCCTCTCAACTCGATTTAGATCGAACCATTGTTAGTTTTTACTTTTGTTTGAAAGGTAATATGACCAAAATATCTTCTCTTTTTTTTTTCAAAAGAGATAGAGCCAAAAATGTATTGGAACTAGTTCATTCTGATACATGTAGACATGTGAATACACTTGAGATAGGGAACTGTGAGTATTTCTTTACAAATGATTACTCTAGATTTAAATACATTTACCTAATGGTTTGAAAGTCAAATACTTTTAAGAAATCAAAAGAGTATTAGACTAAGGTCGAGAAACATTTAGGTAAGAGTATTAAGACACTTCGATCTGATCGAGGTGGCAAATACCTCTCGGGAGAATTCAGGGACATTTTGACAGAAAATGGTATTTTTTTCTTAATTGAATGAGCTTTGTACACCCTAACAAATGGCATTTTAGAAAAAAGAAACACGACATTGTTAGATATGGTTACGTCAATAAAGAGTTTCACAACTCCACCTATCTCATTTTAGAATATACACTGGAAACAATTGGATATATTCTTAACTTAGTTCCAAGTCCGTTCTCACGACTCTCCTGAAATTTTGGAGTAGATTCAAGTCCTCCTTCTATCACATTCAAAATTTGGGGATACAGCTCACATTCTGAAAGGGAATGCACAAAGGTTCGAGTCTAGGTCAAAGATGTGCCTATGTCCGAGATACCCTAAAGATATCAAGGGATAATTTTTTATAGTCCTCTAAATAGGAAGGTCTTTGTTAGTACAAATGCAACCTTCTCAGAAGATAAATATAATAATGATCGCCAGTCCAATAATAAGATCGTGTTGGAAGAAAAGAGTGGATGCAATTCCACCCCATCAATTCCTGGAACACAATCTGGGGCATACTTCCCATAGTGTCAAATATATTTGGACAACGTGATCTGAGTGGGAGAGATGAGTTGTCATCTGGTCCAATAGATCAATAGAACATTGAAAGTAATAATGAGGTAATTGTGTCGCCTAATGGTAATGCCAGCATTGATGAAAATATTACGTTTCAAATGATGTCACAATCCAAGATCAATTGCCCTTTAGACAAAGTCAGATGACTATTAGTTCACCTTCAAGATACTTGTTGAGTGGAGAGTCCAATCTGGTAATCTCCATGGTACAAGTTGGTGATCTGACTTTATATAAGGAGGCTGTGGATGATGTGGATGCAACTATCTATTTATGGATCGAAGCAGACTTTGAGATCTTCGAATAACGGATTCGACAAAGTGACTAAGACAAATAGTTTTAATCAAAACTTTGATGAACCACGTGTCTATAAGAAAATACAAGACAAAATTGCATTTTTCATGGTGCTCATGTAGATGCTATTCTACTCATTAAGCCCATGTTTGGTATCAATTAACATTAAAATTTAAATCTCATCAAAGTTAACAATTAATTTTAACTACATATTTAATAGGTCCCATGACTTTTCAACTACACATTTCATCAACTTTTATCAAAATTTACTAAAAAACTTATTTTAATCCCAACCAAACAGGGGCTAAAAATAATGAGGGTGCATAATCGTTTACAAAAGCGTGGTGGCCCAATGGTTTCATATGAAGGACTTAGTGAAGCTAGCTATGTTCTAGGTTTTAGATCTTGAGAGATCGAAAGAACAAGAAGATGACTTTGTCCCAAGTCTCGTATGTTGATAAGATACTTATCAGATTTGCTATGTAAAATTTTGCCCTTCAAGCATGGAATCCAACTCTTTAAGGATCGGTCTCCTAAGCCCTTCAAGCATGTATGTTATTCAGTGTAATAGACCTTACATTTGTCCTACAATTGGTCTGGTTAGTCGAGATCTATTTAACCGTAGAATCGAAACATGGAATGGTGATAAAGCATGTCCTTTAGTACTTCCAGAGAACAAGGAATAATATGTTCATCACCGATATTGTTCTGATGGGATGGGTTAAAAAAGGACTCAAACTTCTAGAGTGATGAAGACTATCACAAATTTACATCAGTATCATTGTTTACACTTGATGGTGTGGCCATATTTGGAGAAGTATCGAACAATCATTCATTGTCGATTTTACTATTGATGTCGAGTATTTGGTAGCTTATGAAGCTACTAAATTGGTTGTATGACCAGAAAATTTTAATGAATATCGAGGTGGTGCCTGCATCTGCATAACCCTTTACATTGTATTGGGATAATAGTGGTACTGTGGCAAATGTTAAAGAACTATAGTCATAAAAGGGGTAAACACATTGAACAGATATATCATCTTTTAAGAAAGATGGTAGAGAAAATGTGATTCTTAGTAAGATTGCTGCTCGGATAACCTTGTACACTCGTTTACTAATAGTCTGTCAGCTAAGGTTTTTGATGGACATTTGCAATACATGAATGTATAAGGTTGACACAATGTATTGAGAAGTTGTAGTGTTGGCCCATTCATTATTTGGATTTGCAATTTCTCCTTATTGCATAAATAATTAAAGGTGACCCTAATACATGTGGAATGTATTGAACGGATCATGTGTCGAGTTTAATTCTATAGCATGACCGCGAGGAGAATTAAATTTCACTTGATCGTTGTGTATTTCATCTAAATCACTTGACAAGGTTGTGTGTATCCTTTCGTGATTTTAATGGTTTTTTTATTCAACAATGGGTGAGATCAATTTGGTTTGTCAAATATCTCGATGAGTTGAGAACTTGAGAATGAACAAAGTAGAGAACATTAATTTGTGTTGGGAACCGTCGTCCTTAAAAATGGGTAGAGTAACTACTTAAATATTTTCTGTTGAATGGTTAAAATCTGAGCTCAGTGCTTAGTTTACAGGCCATTAAAGAAAATTGTACATAAGCTAATGACAATAATTAGAAGGGTAAAACATTCATTTATGCTCATACCTAATTATCGAATTTCGAATGGGGATAAAATACATATACGGCATGTCGGAGGAAAGCATTACAGATTCTTGGCTTCTATAATCTTATATATTCCAAGAGTTCAGTCTTTTACCTTTAGTGGAAAAAGTAAAGACTAATAATTAGATGGGTGGCCTAGAGTCGACTAGACAATATAATTATTGGAGCTTGGATAACATGTCCGATCAATTCCTCGTGGTAGCTCTATAAAGTAGTGCGACTTAATTACGGTAATTATAATAGTTTTGGGTATAATTGTAATTACAATAAAAATTTGTATTTAGTTGTAATTGCTATAAAAGTTGCAAACTTAATTATAATTGTAATTGAAGTTGTAGGACTACACATGTAATTAAATATAAATTAATTGGATGTGGACTTTAATTAGAACTCTTATTTGGATTTTAATTGAGACTTCTATTTTGAAATTGGAATTATTATTGTATATGGATTGGAACATCTTTATATCTATAAATAAAAATTAAATGAATATAAAAATTTTAGAACAATCATAATACATAATTTTATAGTGATTAAATTTGAAGAGAAAAAAAAGAGAGTAATTATTTTCTTACTTTTTTCATATGTCGAGTTCAAGAATTAGTTACATCTCAGGTCAAGTAAACTATATCCAATAAAGCTGCTTGCACAGGGAGAGGCTCTAGCTGTTTCTTCAAAATCAAGATTTTTATAAACTTGATTGAAATTAGGATAAATTTATTCGTAAAATATTGTCAACAATGTTATAGGTGGAAAATAAAAAAAAATGTTAATTGAAAAAGATAAAATATTCAAATGACAACAAATAATGTTGTCGACAACACTGTAAATCAAGCACTGTTGTTGAAATTAATCTTCTGATCCACAAGTAAACATATGACAAGAGTACGCAGCGATGTGACAGTACTGGAAACACCAAGGTACAGCTTCTACACGTGTAGAAATGGTTTGAAAATAGGTTTAGCTGTTTCTTAAACATGAAGACTCCTATTTATCTTCTGGAACTAGAACAGTCCACGCGCAATATACGACAGAATATGCGAGCGATGTGACATTACTGAAATATAAGATTAATTACTTCTTTTTTCAGTTTATTGGGCCTCTTCGAAACTTGGGTTTTTCAGAAAACAAAATCCCTAGAACTACGAACAACGAACGAGGATGCAAAATATCTAAAAAATGAAATCAAATCGAGAGAAAAATGGAAAATAACGACTGAAACCTGTTGGTGCTACAGTAATGGTGTAACTTTCCACTGCTGGAGTAGATAACCACTCCGACTTCTACATCGCAGAGCACAGCGAGTTCCTTGGCTTTCTTCAGCAACCCATTACGGCGTTTCGAGAACGTCACTTGCCTAGCGCTTTTATCCTCGATTCGCTTTATCTCCAACTTCTTCCGGCCCATGAATCTAATGGAAATCGAAATAAAATCCACAAAACGAAGAAATTAGGTGAACTTTCGAACCATTGCTTGGTGTGTGCCTATATACATGAATACATGTTTTATATGTATGTATCTAGGGTATCAATCAAAACCAAAGGAGGGAATAGAATCTCGAGAAAATTGCAGCCACAACATCAAACATTTCATTTAGTTGCAGATCTTTTCTAAACATTTCATTTGTGCCACACCCGGTACAAAACCTTTAAAAAATTCGTACCTGGAGTTCGAATGGATGGAAACCGTTAATCGACTCAAAAAATTAACTTTGACCAATTTTAAAAGTGATAAAATAGTAATTTTGAAGTAAAATAAAACAAAAAATCAAAAAGTTATCTACCCCCACACCTTACTCCCACCCCTGAAAATCAGTAATCGTCACCGACACCGTCACCGTCACATCTACCTAACATAGGCACGCTCGTTGCTAACACTAACGCCGATGGCTCTTGTAGAGTTTAGAATCACAATTCAGACGTAGGAAGTCAATTCTTGTAGCAACCAAAATTCAGTTGCAAATGGTGAAAGATTGAGTGAAAAAGCTTTTAAAAGTGAGAAGACTTCACACCAACAGACCTTATCATAACGCCAACACATACGATGGCACCACTTAAGAAACTCTTCAAAATTTCCATCACCATTATCAAACCCATCAAGAAATTCCAAAACTCCTATATCAAAATTTCCACCACCGATTGCCCATCACCGTCGTCTCCAATTTCCAATTCAATTTCTGAAATCAAACAAAAAAGTGAAAATGAATGGCAATCGTCTAGCAATTATTTCATCCATCGCAATTTACAACTCTTCCCACATCTCAATAGCCCTTCGCCTACAAAATTTGAAACTATGCTTTGGCTGGCGTTGATGGGGTAGAGTAGGGGAGCTTTTGGCTGGTGCTGCTGCTGTATTTTAGTGTTCGATTTTGGGGTGGGGAGTGAGGAGATTTTGGGTTCGATTTTTGATATTTTGTTTTATTTTAACTCAAAATTATTATTTGACTCATTTTAAAATTGTTTGATATCGTGGTTGGCACAAATGAAAGGTTTGGACAAAATTTGCAACTAAATGAAAGGTTTGATACCGTGATGATAATTTTCCTAGAATATCTGCTAAAGTTTTACCTTTCCGTTTTCCCTAATTTTTACAAGGAGCTATGCATGGTTGAGCTTTAGTCTCGGAACGGATCAATTTCCTGCTTAGTCGCTTTTAAACTTTGGATTTCAAACAATTTGCACGTCAAGTCCCCATCTATTCACACTAGTACATCTTGGATTCTTATTCTTAATTTTTGACCCATCCTATCATAAAACATACATAATGAGATGGTTAACTTCCGTTTTGCCTTGAAGATGCAACAAGTCACACACGTATAGAACCTTTATAAGGGCCATTTTTAAAAAATAATTATTAAAAGAGTAATCTTATTCATCAACTTTGATGATAACAACATGTGTTGTAATGTGATCACCGTTATGTTGTAAATGAAGTTGAGAATATATTCATTCATTGAATAATGTGACAATGACTTTACTGTCATCTAGATTGCTATTTATCACTACTACTAATGAATAATATTTTTATTAGAGAAAGTTACCTAAAACCCTTCTATTTGAGATTACACTTCAAAAATCAAGTGCTAATTAGAATTATTAATTGTAATTAGTAAAATTTTAAATATACTTATTTCATCACCCCCACCCCCCGTTAATTTCCAAACCTAGAAGCCTCTCTCTCTCTCTCTCTCTCTCTCTCTCTCTCGTAGCTGCTTCGCTTCAACACAACCATCTTCGTCCCTATGAATCCAAAGCTGCTCCACCACCCGAGCCCGTGAATTTCTGTAGGACAGCAGTCAGCACCTGTTGCGGTTTGATTCGAGCCCTAGAGTCTAAACTAGTCGCCCATTGCTGCTTCGCCTCTGCCGGCGATCTTGACCCCGAATCGACGAACCAAGTCAGCTAATTGCTGTTTAGCCATGAGGTGAATTCAATTTTCTTTTGATAACTAGTCCTTGTGGATTCTGCAGCTAATCAGTCCTCCCCCTTTTGTTATGTTGATTTTGTTCTAATCTTTGAATTTTTTACTTTTTAACTTTTGAAATTAGGAATTTGATTTTCAATTGCTGGAGCCTCGAAGCATACAACTTTTGATTTGAAGCTTGAATGCTGCTGTTACATTTAACTAAATGAAGTTTTTGTTCAGCTAGTTAGTACTGGATATAGGAGACTACAATTTTAACAACTTTCGACTTCAATTTGATGTGGTTTTTTTTATCCAATTCGATATGCTGATTGTTTTGTTTTTTGCCAATGTTTTGTTTGTTTAAACAAGCTCATCCACTTCCTGAAAACAGCATCTAGTGACCGTTTGTGACTGGTTAATTGTGACTCGTTGTGATCGTTTGTGACCAATTATGACCGATTGTGACTTGAAATTCTGGAAATTTTATGGAAGTTGAGAATGGATGGGTAGGTTGATCGGAAAATGCGTTGGAGTGGTTATTGGAGCAGTTTGCCAGAAGGATCGTGAATAGCCGCTAGAGAGAGCGTCGGGGAGATCTTTGGAATAGTGGCCGGAGCGGCCGTCGGAACTGTTACCGGAGCGGCATCCTGAGAGATCGTCAGAACTGTCGCCAGAGCGACCGCCGAAACTGTCACCGGAACGGTCGCCGGAGTAGATGGCCGCCTCGGCGCCTCCGATGGAGAGAAGGGGTAGGGGGAGGATAGAGAGTAGAGAGAGAGAGAGAATGATTTAGATTTGAAATTTAATAAATTGAGATAATTGTATTATATTATAATTAAAAAATATTTAATTAATTGATTTAACACCTGATTTTTGAAAAGATTTTTGAAGTTTGTTATTTTTGAAATGTAATCCTTATATACAGGATTTATGTATTGTTCACTTTTTATTATTATTAGTTCACATCCATTTTTAAGGAGACTTAAATATTTGATAGGTATAGTCCATTTATCGACTTGGCAATGAGAGAAGTTTGACGAGTAATGTACTTATGGTCTCATTTTGCACTCATATACAATGTAGAAGTGAAAAGAGTAGGGCTTGACATTCGTTTTCAGATTCGACTCGATTCCTTTACTGAATGAGTCGATTTGGAGGACATGCACTAAAAATCGATCAATTTGGTTCCCGCTCTTGATGCTGATTGAGAATCGAGAATAAATTCATTTCTTATGCATTTCTCTTTTCACTTGTGCATTTAACCAAGATGCTCCAAATATTTTAACACTAGTCCCAAAATTATTTCACGTCAAAACTTCACTTTCCATATGATTCTTCTCTTTCCTTTGCAGCTAAACCTTTATGAGTAATCTATCGAAATCTAAAATTTTTATAAAATACTTTATAATTCATAGTTTTATTGCAAATTTCAATACGAAAAAAATATATCTCTTGCTCAATTTTTCAGAAGAACTCATATTTCTCGTGAAAAAATATATACTATAGTAATAAAAAAAAATCAGGAGGCATGAGCTATATTAATGATTTGATATTGGTTTAATTAAATTTTTTTTGCATGTCACGAGAATGACAAGTGATTTTGTACTCTATTATCATAATTTTTTCTATGTAAATATCCGGACCGAACATGAACTGGTTGGTTTGATTTCGGTTCAATTATGTAGTTAATATATTCTAATGGTTCCCTTTTTAAGATACCCATGATACTTGGTTTGATTTGATTTCCTTTAAAGCTCTTTCCAAAGAACAACTACATTAGCAACAAATTATGATCCATCTATTAGGGACCTATAGACACGAATTATATCTTTTGGGAGATATGATCCTCAAAAATATTAAGTGGAGTCCAAGTTACAATCTTTAAATGTTTGGGGACCTCAAATGAAAATCAGCCATGAAAGTTGAGGAGGACAATTGTCAAACTTCCCCTCCACTGACAGGTGGCAATATTTGGGGCTAGAAACGTTCCAGCGTACTTTTGACTTTTGAAATGGGCAGTCCATTACAATGTTACACATCCGTGGATTTGCAAGGCGGTTCATCTCGACGTGGCCTACTAGTCACAGCCTGTTACCTAAGGACTAAGATTCAGTTTACAATCTTCTCATCGTACGTGAAATAATTAAGCCATTGTTTTGGCTCCTTTCTAGGCTTTGTTTGGGAGAAATTAAATTTTTTTAAAGTAAATCAATTCTCATTTTCAACCACACATTCTTCAATAAAATAATATTTTTCATCACATCAATAATTTTTTCTTCTTTTTCAACCACACATTTCTCATCATATCACTATTCAAAATCAATTATTCCCCCAAAAATATCTCCCAAACAAGCTCCTAGTAAGGAAAAAGTTGGTTGTCGGTCAAATCAGGGGCCAAAGCCCGGGTCAAACCAGGGACGTGTAACAATATTTTATAAGAAAATGTGTGGTTGAAAATGCATATTAAAAAATAATTTTTTTGAAAAAAAAAAAATCAAACATAAACTAAATATCTAATGACTAAGATTCAGTTTAAATATATTTTACAATTTTTTCTTCGTACGTGAAATAATTAAAATCAATATTTTAAAAACTGACTCGATCACCGTCCCAAAAAAGAGAATGAGTCAGGGTCAAAAGGTTAAATCGGGATCAAATCGGTGATTTAAAAAAAAAAATTAAAAATAATACATTTACAAAAAATTTAAAAAAATATATATTTACATAGGTTGAACTGATTAAATCGGGAATGGGTTACGGATTTTTCAAAAATCGGTATGTTTAATGGGTTTTGGGACGAGTTTTTAGTTAAATGTTTTATAAGCCTAATCGAACCGATTTTGGTCTCAGTTTCCATTTTCCCAGTTGATTCGACCACCGATTTTTAAAATATTGATTAAAATATAATTTAGTGACAATGTGCACACGTAGTTGCCCACACAATTTTTAAGTTTTGGTGTACTATTTTACATTAAGCCTCTTCTTGGATATTCATTGCAATG